CCACCACCACCACAATTCAACAAACACTACCCACATAACTTGACTCAAATGGTAAAGCATTTTTTCTCATTTTCGGATAACAATTTTTTTTCTCAAATGTTTAATGACACTAATACACATTAATTCCCCACATCATTCCATAACTTCCACCCCTCAATTTTCACCCCCTGTCTCCCCTACACCTCACATCTTCACATCCACACACCCATCTCCCAGCACCTCACTCCCTCTCACTCATAATCCACAACATCCCACAATTTTCTCGTTTTCGTATTACAACAAGAGGGGAAGGGGGAGGGGGAGGGGGCGGGGGGAGGGGGAGGGGGAGGGGGAGGGGAGGGGAGGGGGAGGGGGAGGGAGGGAGGGGGAGGGGGGAGGGGGAGGGGGGAGGGGAGGGGGAGGGAAGTGGGATGGGGTGGGGAAAGGGGGTGGGGGAAATTTGGTAGAATTCTCGAAAAGTGGAGTAAGACTCAAAAAAAACACTCAAGAAACGAAAAATTTCTCTGAAATTTGAAAAAAATTTAGTAGCATTCTCGAAAAGTGGGTAAAACTTGATCTGAGGAGTGGAGGCGATCCGGGAGTAAAAGGGAAGACCAGAAGGGTACGGGTGGTGGCAGGGGCAGGGCAGGGGCAGGGGCGGGGAGGGGCAGGGGCAGGGGCAGGGGCAGGGCAGGGCAGGGGCAGGGGCAGGGGCAGGGGCAGGGGCAGGGGCAGGGGCAGGGGCCCCACCGAGCAAGCCTCCTGTGTTCCTTCATAATATCAAGCACCTTCACCTCCATATATATTCTTAAAAGCATACAGTGAACAATAAAACAGTCATTTCTGCACTAAATCACATATACACGTTCATCTGCTTATTTTTATATGAGTATATCTCTTCATATATTTATAAAAAGAGTTGAGATATGTTATACATTTCGTTTCTCAATATTTTTTATTTTACAGATAAATATCTTCACTTAGACATCAAATTGGATGGGTCACTATCCTTTTGTTTTCTCCTCTTTCCTGTTTCAATATTTGTCTCCTTACCATGTGCTATATTCACTAATCTTTGAATTAGAGAACAAGAGAAACTCGAATCATTCAGTAGAACGGAAGTTCAGTGTGAGAAACCTGGGGGTAACAATGTAAGGGAACCTCCCATTCAAGGATAACAATATTGCTATACAAACTGCAACGAGAATATTAGGTTAGATAACTAAAATATTCAAAACAAGAGTTACTTGTTCTCACAAAGTTGGAATATTGTTGTATACTAATAGCCACTTTCAAAGCAGGAGAGATTACAGAGCTGGTGTAAAACATGGAGAATTTTAACTGCCCATATACATTTAGTTAAGCATCTATATTACTTGAAACGTTTGAAATCCCTTGAACTGTATGCATTAGAACATAGGCAAAATGGTACATCATAATTTACACATGAAAAATCCTGGAAGGACTAGTCCCCCACCTATACACATAAATCACTCCATGTGAAAGAGATGTTGCAGACGGTGCAAAATACCTCCAATGAAAAGCAGGGAGCGAGATGCGTACACTAAGATAAAAGTTAATAATTTTAAAGGAGGCTCTTATGCATCCTTCATGCAACGAGGGAATTACCAACAAACTTCTGTCTTCAAAAGGGACCTTGATCAGTTCTTCAAGTCGTTTCTTGACCAGCCAGACTGGTGCATTTACTGAACTGCATGCAATTGGCACCAGCAGGCTGGTTGATCATCAAGTTTCATCTCGAGCAGTGTACTGCTGCGTTTGAATCGGATTTTTTTTTCAAATCATTACGTTTTTTCTGGCACTTATCTTGTCAGGAAGTTCCTTGGTCCTGGTCACCCAACACCTTCAAAATGTAGATAACCGGTTCAAAGAACCGACAAGTTGATAAATTAAACACATGTGCAACACCTGGGTATCTTTACTGAGGAAACGTTTCGCCATAAGTTCTGTCAAGCACCTTAACTACTGGGAACGCTTGGAAGCACTTGACTTGTACTCGTTGGAACGCAGGAGAGAGAGATATATCATAATCTACACTTGGAAAATCCTGGAAGGAATGGTCCCAAATCTGCACACAGAAATCACTCCCTACGAAAGTAAAAGACTGGGCAGGCGATGCAAAATGCCCCCAATAAAAAGTAGGGGCGCCATTGGTACACTAAGGGAAAACACCATAAGTGTCCGAGGCCCAAGACTGTTCAACAGCCTCCCATCAAGCATTAGGGGAATTGCCAATAAACCCCTGGCTGCCTTCAAGAGAGAGCTGGACAGATACCTAAAGTCAGTGCCGGATCAGCCGGGCTGTGGCTCGTACGTTGGACTGCGTGCGGCCAGCAGTAACAGCCTAGTTGATCAGGCCCTGATCCATCGGGAGGCCTGGTCATGGACCGGGCCGCGGGGGCGTTGATCCCGGAATAACGTCCAGGTAACCTCCAGGTAACACAGTGGCTTCATCAGTCCATACAAAGGAGAATGGTGAAGAACAGGAGTAGTTTCCTCAATAAAGACACCTAAGTATTTCACATGTGTCTAATTTATCACACCTTCAAAACGCTAGAAAACCAAACAAAACATTCACATATATCATTGTTGTCACCTCAAAGATACTATGGCCTTAATTAACAATAAAAGTTTTTTCCATACATTTTCGCCGACAGTCACCAGACTTAAGTAGTTAAGAACATAAGAACATAAGTTCCTAGTGTTTGTATTAGGAACATTAGGAGGGTAAAGCAATAGTGCTTTGCGTGCGAGAGATGACAAATAACCAATTCTTTTTGTGTGCTGGTTGACTCAGAAAGTAGGAGCCGTCGTTAAGGCTTGCACTATCAGTGGGCTTAATGGTGGTGGTGGGTGTATTGGTTTTGAGGGACGTAGTGGAAAGGGTTATAGTAGTGGGGGTAGTGGCTGTGGTGAAGGGACAGACAAGCTCCGCCTACACCGGTTACATCTCCAGTGGTGGGTGTGGTGGCGGAAGGGAAGGGACATGTCAGCTCCGCCCACACTGGTCACACCTGCAGTGGGGAGCTACCCCAGTGTAAACAATAGCTTCATAAATTATAAAAGACCATGTAACAGTCACTCCTGTCTTTTCTTTGCCAGTTCAAACATTGCTTTTATATCTGGAGTTTATCTGGAGAGAGTTCCGGGGGTCAACGCCCCCGCGGCCCGGTTTAATTTCATAAAATACCTCGAGGACAATTTTGTAATTCTGGCTGACAAAAACCTCTTCACTTTTCAAGCAATACGGAAGTTTTAGAGGCGTGGGAATGTGTGGTATCAGAGAACAAGTCTGCATCATGAGGTGGGTGTCAGTGCCCCTTGACCTAGAGTGCGTCACAAATATATGACCTACTGGTTTAGTGAGGGGAAGAGGTCACACTGATGCTTGGAATGAAAGTAATTTTAACAAGCTAAGGGAGGGAAGGTATATAAGGTGGTCTGCCGTGGGCAGAAGCAATATTCCACCATGCAGCTCCTGGTGAGTCCTGACTCTCACTGGAACACTCCGCGACTTGTTCAAGTTATTTCAAAGCCTTGAGACTAACGTAGGCCGTAGACCTAGACTGTTTGTGGAGGTGTTTAGCCTCCGTCCAGTGATCTAGTCTGCAGAAGTGTTTGCGCAACCCTGCCACCAGGCCTGGGTATAATAGTGACAAGAACAAACAAATTTAAAAGCAACAGTGAGAGAAAGAAAGAAACACTTGTCAGGATTTTCTACGTGAAGTAATTTGTCGGTTATTTTACTTGATTGAATTCGCTTGTGCCAACTTGTGATGTCTTTATTGACTACTTAACTAAGTACGTCTAGTGACCCCAGTAATTAAGTTATTATTTCAAAAGAAGTTTGTGGAGGTGTGGTAACATTACCACACTGCAATATATATATATATATATATATATATATATATATATATATATATATATATATATATATATATATATATATATAATATATATATATTTTTCTTTCAACACACCGGCCGTATCCCACCGAGGTGGGGTGGCCCAAAAGGAAAAACGAAAGTTTCTCCTCTCAAATTTAGTAATATATACAGGAGAAGGGGTTACTAGCCCCTTGCTCCCGGCATTTCAGTCGCCTCTTACGACACGCATGGCTTACAGAGGAAGAATTCTGTTCCACTTCCCCATGGAGATAAGAGGAAATAAACAAGAACAAGAACTAGAAAGAAAATAGCAGAAAACCCAGAGGGGTGTGTATATATATAAGCTTGTACATGTATGTGTAGTGTGACCTAAGTGTAAGTAGAAGTAGCAAAACGTACCTGAAATCTTGCATGTTTATGAGACAGACAAAAGACACCAGCAATCCTACCATCATGTAAAACAATTGCAGGCTTTTTGGCAGAACGGTAGTACCTCCCTGGGCGGTTGCTGTCTACCAACCTATTACCTATTACCTTGGTGGGAGACGGCCGACTTGTTGAAATAAATAAATAAATAAATAAATAATATATATATATATATATATATATATATATATATATATATATATATATATATATATATTTATATATATATATATATATATTATATATATATATATATATATATTTATATATATATATATATATATATATATATATATATATATATATATATATATTTATTATATCAAAAATTCATGTTTAGCGCAAAGAAAGGCTCGATCCTCTGTTCACTAATTGCTAAAGAAACTCACTACCAACAGCATGTACTTATTTAGCAGCCTTCAGTACAACTACATCTATGTTGTGGTAGCTTTATATACAACTGAACGATTTGTATTGATGTTTTGATGAAGATTTCGAAAAATGGGTTAATGGTAGCGACACATTAACAAGTGTCAAGAGTTTTGATGTGTTAATGTAACGCTGGTAATGACAGATAATTATGATGATTTAATATTTATGTTTGCCATATTTGTGATGTTGCGATTTTATTGATAAGGACTTTACGTTTAATTCGTAACAACTGCTGGTAGTGACTGAGACTTATGATTAACATTCTTCTTCTGCTCTCCACAGATCTTGGTGTCCTTGTTGGCGGCTGCTGTAAACGCCGAGCTTCAGGGCTACAGTGTATCCACTCCCTCCGGCCCAAGTTTCATCTCTGGTGGCTCCGGGTTGTCTGGCGGCGCTGGGTTCTCTGGTGGCTCCGGCTTCATCTCTGGCGGCTCCGGGTTGTCTGGCGGCGCTGGGTTCTCTGGTGGCTCCGGCTTCATCTCTGGCGGCTCCGGGTTTATCTCTGGTGGTTCCGGTCTATCGGGAGGCTCAGGGTTCATCTCCGGTGGCTCTGGGTTCTCAGTCACCTGTGGTGTCGGACAGATTCGTCATGTAGATGGCAGCTGCATTACTCCCCAAATCACTAAAAATCTGTATGTGTTCACCTCCCCTCCTGTTCATAGAACAATTGGTCCACGACCGCATATTCCCCCACCGAGAGTGGAACACAACATTATATTCATCCGTACTCCTGAGGGAGGAATTGGGGTGGAACCCATCGTTGTTCCTCCACCACTGCAGAAGAACATCGTCTACGTGCTCAACAAGCGCACTCATCAAGGTCAACAAGTAGTCCACGTCCCAGCTCCTGAGCAACAAACTCCTCAAGTGTACTTCGTCAACTATGCCGATGGTGACAACCCGACTTTGCCCACTGGAGAGGACCTCCAGTCTGCCCTCAGCTCTGCCTCTCATGGTGGAGGTGAAGTTATTGGTTCCGCTGGTGGCATTGGAGGTGGCGCTGGTATTGGGATTGGTGGTGGCGATGGTATCGGCATTGGAGGTGGCGCTGGCATCGGCATTGGAGGTGGCGCTGGTATCGGCATTGGAGGTGGCGCTGGTATCGGCATTGGAGGTGGCGCTGGTATCGGCTTTCATGATAGTTCCATTGAGAGCAGCGGTGGTGTTATTGGAGGAGGAAGTACTTTTGTGAGCGGCGGTGGCAGTGTAGGTATCCCCGCACCGTCTGGTGTGTATGGGACGCCCTAAATAACAACAAATTGCAAGTTAAGTTGACGTGAGTCCTCCTTGCGACGGTCTTCATTCCAACAAGTAAATTGCATCTATACTTATTTTTTTTACAGATATGTATGTGGTTTCCAATAAAAACAACAAATATACTTGGACACTTAATTAATAATAGACATACAAAGCCAGTCTTTACTTTTGTTATGACACACTGAAGACCTGAACCCCAGGTGTCTCTTGCTTGTGGTCAACAAGCATTGTTTTTATGTAAGATAAAATGCCATTTTAATATAATGTAATAATAAATAAATATATATATATATATATTTAATATATATTAACTATATATATATTTTATAATAATTATATTTATTAATATATAATATAATATATATAATATATATATATAATATATATATATATATATAATATATATATATATATAATATATATATATATATATATATATATATATATATATATATATATATATATATATATATATATGTTTGACTTTTGCACCAATTTTTTTTAAGATTTTATGACCATTTACTTGAGTATAAGCATTTCATAGTTACTATATTCGAAATTATATAGAAATAAATAAAGTCAAACTGAAAAACAATAAACGTCACATTTAATTTTTCCTGTATGGTGTTGTGATTCCACAGCAATCAATACACCTTGTCAACCCCACACACACTTTTCATGAATGATTTCAACAGTATTTACCACAAGTACATCTAACACAGGCGAAATAGAATATGAGAACCCCCGGGTGCTAACGACCACACTGTACTGAACCTTTTGAAACATAATGAAGAGGGATGAACGGCAGGTGAAGTGGAGGGTAAGAATCCAGGCTTTAGAAGAGAGAACCTCGAAGGGGAAAAAAATCCTGCATACACTACAGTGGGAAACAGAATCTGGAAATAAAGTCAGCACTTGACGTGACAGATTACCTAGCTGGAATGTGCCGTGAGACAGAGAGCCTAATAACCACATGATAAAGGGGAAATAACTAAGACAAAGACAGTCCTTGGCTGAACTAAATGGAGAGAAACAAAAAAGAAAATCACGGGAGCGTGGAAAATCACTAGAAAGTGAAACACTGGCAAGAACAGAGAAGTGAGCAGATAAGACAAGAATGAATATGCAACGGTAAGTAGAGAGGCTGAGCTGCTATTTATGAACGATATAGCAACAAAGGCTAAGTCTGAACTAAAACTGCTTCATAGCCACTTCAGAAGACGACAGCAAAAGATTATGCAGTTTAACTGTAGGGAAAAAAAAGGAGGAAACTTTACGAGAAACGACAAGAAAGACTGAGAAAGAGATCTCAGTGGAAACGGTCAATACCGGAAAGAGGTACTGAACACTATATACACAGCAAAGGAAGAGGTAAATAAAACTTATAATGGAGCTGGTTACATTAAAGGCAAAAAAAAAAAAACTGATAAAGTATCACTACGAATTACGTGAGAGGAAGCAGGAGCACTGTCTCAACCACTGGATAACATATACAACACTTCAATGGACATGGGACAGTTACCAGAGATATGGAAGACAACTAAAGTAATCCCTACAGATCAGTTTCACTGACATAAACACCATGCAAGCCAGTAAAACTGACTGGAATGGGATGTGAGACATGATGGGCATGGTATGCATGAGACATGAGAGTGGTAGAGCACTTTGAAAGAAGTGGTTCTCAAACAATAACCAGAACTGGTTTAGAAATAAAAAGAAAAATGTCTTGCCAACCTGACAAAATTATATGACAAAGCAGAAGTGAGACAGGAGAGAAAGGGAAGAGTGGATTGCATTTTCTTAGACTGCAGGAAGAAATTTAATACTGTACCCCCACAAAAGACTGACCTGAGGTGCAGGCAGAAATAACAGGGCACATACTCAGGTGGATCAAAGAGTACCTTAGGGAAAGATAGCAAAACAAATATTTTTCGGGAAGTAACCAGCGGGAAGAGTAACTAGTGACGATTCTCAACGATCGGTATTAGGGCCAGTACTGTTGTTAGTTATTATGAATGACATTCCAGACGAGACTGAGATGTATCCCTGCTTGCTGATGTAAATCTAGTGAGGAGATTAAAATCAGACGAGGAGAAGGGACAAGAAGGCCGGACACATAATATAGACTCTGGGGACAGGTTGCAGACCTCACTCAAAATGAAAGACATAAAGCCTGATCCTTTAACTACAAAGGCAATTACAAATAGCAATTCCAAACGTTAAAGGTATAAGACATAAAATACTCTAGGGGACAAGCAGAAAAGCCAAGTACATGCTTTACACCAAGGATGTAACAAGAATACGAGAATATTGATAGGGGCTAAGTACCTAGCATATCGCCAGAGGCTCACATCAACCGAATAACTTCCGGGATCTTCCCAAAAGTTTAAAACAGGAAATGTTGTTCCAGTGGTCAAGCGAGGGAATATACCGATAACAGTGAACTATAGGTCAGTATTTTTAATGTGTATACTATATAAAATAATGGAAAAGATAATAATGAGTGATGGTGCTTGCAGTGAGATATTTACCCATTAACGATAGTTTGCACAAATTTAGAGATGGCAGATCCTGTCTCACAAACTTACTGTATGTATCTATAACAGGGTAATCGAGAACAGACAAGAGAGAGAGACGGGGGGGGGATGGATGTTCTTTGCTTTTCTGTACTGTACTGGAGCATTTCATACTGTTTTCCACAAAACTCTAATTCATAAATTGGAACTAAACCTGTTCCCAGTCAGAGATAATCTGGGAGGAGGTAACTGGATGGACCACTGATGTTCCATATGTCTTTCAAATATTCTCGTTTACATACGAAGTAAATCTAATAGACAGAATAAATGTAGGCAAGACAGAGCAAGACTACAAGAGGAATGGTCATACATAGTGATACTGGCCTTCAACTCCAAAAGTACAAGATTGTGAAAATCAGTGAAGGGAGAAGACAGATTCAGAAGGCAACAGCTACAACCTTTAAGAAAAGAGCCAAAGGATAAGTATGTAAGGAAGCATGCTATCGAAGGCGCTTATCCGCAGACTAGTCATGGCAGTGTACGCCCGCCTGGCAAGTTATCAACAAGGCCTTCATTACCCAGAATATTTTCTATTATTCCATTTGAGAGCGTAGTTTCTTGTTACATCCTCGGTGTAAAGCTTGTACTTGGCTCCTCTTCTAGTGTTCTAGAGTATTTTATGTCATATCTTTAACGTTTGAAAGCGTCTATTTGTAATTGCCTCTATAGTTACAGGATCAGGCTTTTCCATGTATTTTAATGTATAATATAAATTAAATTTCCAGATTATTATTATTATCGTTAAACAATAACACTGACGATAATTCCCAAAATTATGTGGAAGGTTGGACGCTCGATCCTTCTGATGCTTGTGAAATTAAGACGTCACACACACGAGAGACACTAGTGTAACTAACCGAGTAGTCCACCGCCACACTGGCACATATTCCTCATAATAGTCGCAGACATATTTGTGTTAGAAAACTAGTCTCGCCACTCGTCAGATGAGAACCAGTCGCTGACACTCCGGGCAGAAGCAGCATGTTCTTCACTCGCCATCAAGCCACTTGCTGTCGCTTCACGCTCCTCCTTGTATGTTCTCTGCCTAACAAGTTTTTATCTGTAGTTGCAGCACATTAACTCCTCTTAAAGACAGTTCCAGCCATTAACCATTCTTTGGGAAAATAAGTTCTTCATAATGTTCTTTCTCTGTGTTTTTTCCATATTTTAAATTTTTGGTCTCTTGTTCTCTTTGATTATTAATATTACAGATTTCTCATATCATTTTTACTAAATTCTCTATTTTTATCATGTCTCTGGTCATTCTCCCATCTTCTTCGTTGAACCTTTTTTGCATTTTCTATATATTTTGTTGTACCTCTTTGAAACTGCTTAGATTTTACCTATTTAAGGTGCAGAAATCACACTGAGCAGTATATTCTAAGTCTTACAAAATAATTAAAAAAAAAAGAACGCCAGGAGTTGAACCTGAGTCTGCCACGTTAACTGGTCTTTGTGTATCACTACATCACAGAACCCGGTAAAAACTTAATTAGGAATACTTTCCTTTGAGATTTACGTGCGTCAACTTAACTGACTCTGTTGCTAGCGAAGAAACCTCGCTGGTCACAACGTGAGTCACCTCGTGCATTTGTGATAATGTATTTCATCTTGAAGATTCTTTCTACGTCATGCTTACGAAACTTATGTTTTAACTCAAACTAATAATTCCAGCAAATGTACCTTTCAACAAAGACAGAGTCAACATCTCACCAGCAATCACACCAGGAGGAGCAATGATGCTGTAACCCTGAGATACATCACAGATACTGCCGTCATCACCACACTAGAGCATCACTTATTTGCTAAAGAACCTCGCTGGATAAATGTCTGAAATTCTACTCTCCTTACCTTCTCCCTTGGCCAAATTTCACACAACGTTGGGGAAATTATATATAAGAACGCATGTGTAATTGGCCTCGCAGTAAATAATCCAACAAAGAAACTCTGTGGCTAGCAGTGTTTACCTTTTTTGAGGGATGAGTGGGTAGACGTCAGGTAGTCACAATAAGCAGAGATCATTACTGGAACTCTGCTTGCTGTGCCTCTCACACCGGGCTATATCACATAGACGAATATTTTTTTCTGTTGTCTGTGAGAGCATGACCTGTAAATAGTTTGCAGTTGGCAGTTAACTACTTTAGATGTGGCACAACTCTTCCTTCATTCTTATAGGGCCTTGGGATGTTCGTTGATGAATTTGTGGGTTGGTGTGTGTGTATGTGAACTCACCTAATTGTACTCACCTAATTGTAGTTGCAGGGGTCGAGTCATAGCTCCTAGCTTCTGTATGTGTGTGTGTGTGTGTGTGTGTGTGTGTGGTGTGTGTGTGTGTGTGTGTGTGTGTGTGTGTGTGTGTGTGTGTGTGTGTGTGTGTGTGTGTGTGTGTGTGTATGTGATGTGTGTGTGTATGTGTGTATTTGTGTGTGTGTGTGTGTGTGTGTGTGTGTGTGTGTGTGTGTGTGTGTGTGTGTGTGTGTGTGAACTCACCTATTTGTGGTTTCAAAGGTCGATTCACAGCTCCTGGCCCTGCCTCTTTGCTGGTCGTTACTAGGTCCAATCTCTTCCTACTCAATGAGCTTTATCGTATCTCTTCTTAAAGCTATGTATGGATCCTGCCTCCACTACATCACTTTCCAGATTGTTCCACTTCCTGACAACTCTATGGCTGAAGAAATACTTCCTAACATCCCTGTGACTCATCTGAGTCTTCAACTTCCAGTTGTGACGCCTTGTTGCTGTGTCCCATTTCTGAAACATCCTGTTCTTATCTACCTTGTCAATTCTTTTCAGTATTTTATATGTCGTTATCATGTCTCCCCACCTCTCCTGTCCTCCAGTGTGTGTGTGTGTGTGTGTGTATGTGTGTGTGCGTGTGTACTCATCTAGTTGTTGTTGCAGGGGTCAAGTCACAGCTCCTGGCCCCGCTTATTCACTGGTCGCTACTAGGTCACTCTTCCTGCTCCATGAGCTATATCATACCTCTTCTTAAAGCTATATATTGATCCTGCCTCCACTACATCACTTCCCAGATTTTTCCACTTCCTGACAACTCTGTGGCTGAAGAAATACTTCCTAACATCCCTGTGATTCATGTTCATCTGAGTCTTCAACTTCCAACTGTGACCCCTTGTTGCTATGTTCCATCTCTGGAACATCCTATCTCTGTCCACCTTGTCGATTCCTCTCAATATTTTATATGTTATCATATCCCCCCTATCTATCCTGTCTTCCAATGTCATCAGGGAGATTTCCCTTAACCTCTCATCGCGTATACTATATGTATACTTCAATTTGTATGATTATTCTCCCTACAAATGGATTTAATAAACTATTTTGAATTTAAATGCTCTTTGTGTTTTTCCGGATTCTGTGGACTTTTCTAGTCTAGTGGGCAATTTCGCTGTACACAAATTTGTTTTGGGTTAATACCCGAAAATGTTCGCCGACCCCTGTATATACCAGAAACAGCACCGGCCCTTCTGGAAATTCGCTCGTCACAAGCGCCCGCTGTGACTCCTCGTCACGTACCATCACTCGTTGTTTCCTGCCTGTCAGGTATTCTCTGATCCATTGTGGTGCCTTTCCAGCTATTCCTGATTGTTCTTCTAGTTTTTTCACTAATCTCTTGTGCGGAACTGTGTCGAAAGCTTTCTTACAGTCCAAGAAAATGCAGTCTACCCACCCCTCTCTGCTGACTCTCTCAGGACCCACGGAGAGATGTTGTTCGGTCCCATCGCCTTTGAGGTATCTAGTTCACTTAGCAGCCTCTTCAAATCGTCCTCGGTTGTGTGTGGTATGTTCAGCACTTGTTGGTGCACACTTCCATCCCGGTTTGCGGGAGTCCTTTCTGTCTCCACTGAAAATGCTTCCTTAAATCTCGTATTGAGCTCTTCACATAGTTCTTTGTCATTTCTTGTGATCTCCCCTGCTTCCTTCTCAGCCTAATACCTGTTACTTGACCGTTTATTGTGTGTGTGTGTGTACTCACCTATTTGTGGTTGCAGGGGTCGAGTCTTAGCTCCTGGCCCCGCCTCTTCACCGGTTGCTGTGTGTGTGTGTGTGAGAGGGAGAGAGAGAGAGAAAGAGAGAGAGAGAGAGAGAGAGAGAGAGATCAAAACATTGCAGTTCTTGTTTTCCTGGTCAAACTTATTTAGAATTTTCACTAATATATAAACATGAGTTCAGACATTAGTTAGTTTAATATCGTTATTATTCACCCCATGGTGTTGGGGGGGCAGCCACCCCATACCCATGGTGTGGGCGGCAGCCACCCCATACCCATTGTGTGGGTGGCAGTCACCCCAGACCCATGGTGTGGGGCGGGCAGCCACCCCATACCCATGGTGGGGCGGCAGTCACCCCATACCCATGGTGTGGGTGGCAGCCACCCCATACCCATGGTGTGGGCGGCAGTCACCCCAGACCCATGGTGTGGGCGGCAGCCACCCCAGACCCATGGTGTGGGTGGCAGTCACCCCAGACCCATGGTGTGGGCGGCAGTCACCCCAGACCCATGGTGTGGGCGGCAGTCACCCCATACCCATGGTGTGGGCGGCAGTCACCCCAGACCCATGGTGTGGGCGGCAGCCACCCCATACCCATGGTGTGGGCGGCAGTCACCCCAGACCCATGGTGTGGGCGGCAGTCACCCCAGACCCATGGTGTGGGCGGCAGTCACCCCAGACCCATGGTGTGGGCGGCAGTCACCCCAGACCCATGGTGTGGGCGGCAGCCACCCCAACACCATGGTGTGGCGGCAGTCACCCCATACCCATGGTGTGGGCGGCAGCCACCCCAGACCCATGGTGTGGGCGGCAGTCACCCCAGACCCATGGTTGGGCGGCAGCCACCCCATACCCATGGTGTTGGGGCGGACAGCCACCCCATACCCATGGTGTGGGTGGCAGTCACCCCAGACCCATGGTGTGGGCGGCAGCCACCCCATACCCATGGTGTGGGCGGCAGTCACCCCAGACCCATGGTGTGGGCGGCAGCCACCCCATACCCATGGTGTGGGCGGCAGTCACCCCAACCCATGGTGTGGGCGGCAGCACACCCCATACCCATGGTGTGGGCGGCAGTCACCCGACCCATGGTGTGGGTCGGCAGCCACCCCAACCCATGGTGTGGGTGGCAGTCACCCCAGACCCATGGTGTGGGCGGCAGCCATCCCCATACCCATGGTGTGGGCGGCAGTCCACCCCAGACCCATGGTGTGGGCGGCAGTCACCCCAGACCCATGGTGTGGGCGGCAGCCACCCCATACCCATGGTGTGGGCGGCAGTCACCTTCGTAACCATGGTGTGCTCGGCAGTCACCCAAGACCCATGGTGTGGGCGGCAGTCACCCCAGACCCATGGTGTGGGTGGCAGCCACCCCATACCCATGGTGTGGGCGGCAGTCACCCCAGACCCATGGTGTGGGAGGCAGTCATCCCATACCCATGATATGTGAGGCAGTCATCCCATACCCAAGGAGTTGGAGGCAGTCACCTCATACCCATGCGTGGGCAGCAGTCACCCCATACCCGGGGTAGACCTCATAACATGTAATGGACGATGCAATAACCATACCCCGCGGGATGAACCCGGTCATGAGTCTCAACTCCAGACCCGTCGCGTTAGCCACTAGACCCGCTAGCCACATTAGTTCATCCAACTAGGTATATTTCGATACCACCATAGGAAAGTGAGACAGCACCTCTGTGACCCAAATGCAAGTTTTGACAGACGATCCCTACCAAGAGTTGGAGGCAGTGACGAACTCTAGCTCAAGTCCCTTCACTGCCGTCAACATGAGTATGAGCGGTAGTCATAATTATTTATTTATTTTATTAACACATCGGCAGTCTCCCACCAAGGCAGGGCGGCCCGAAATTTTTTTTTTATCATCATTCACTCCATCAATATCTTGCCAGAGTCGCGCTGACACTACACTTATAAAACTGCAACATTAACGCCCCTCCTTCACAGGCGCGTTTTTTTTTTTTTACAATAGGTAAAGTAAGGGTATATTTCCACAGCAATATGCCATTGTAAATATAATACTTTGGTATTTCTTGAACATTTGTGAGCTGTCTTTAAATTCATTTTATCGCATTCCAGTACATAATGACCAGAGGAGGAAGACACGACATTTAGTTATGTCTACATCATCTGGTAGTGGTGGTGATGAAACCTCCCAGGGATACTTGTAACCCTACTGGAGCCTGGCTGATTTTGTTGGATGCATCATAGACATATATCTCTTTCTGCATGACTGATTTTAGGCGGAATGACTGGTGTCAGTCTCCCTCAGTCTCAAATCAATGAAGGTCAGTTGAAGTACTTTTCGTATTATTGTCCTCAAACCGCTAACTGACACACCAAGATTGTAATCTACTCCCTCCAAGTCAAAGTCCCATCATGCATTTAAAGACCAATGTGAGATAGAAACCACTGTCTACAATCCTACCATACCTGTGTCCGAGTTCTAACACCAGCATGCCACAGCTGACACTCACGGAGTTAAGAGCATTTAGGGATAACAGAGAATCAGTTACAATTAAGGTGTCAGTCTTCTGTACATGAATGCACTCGAGTGCAACGCGTATAGCAAACAGTTTAATTTGAAAGGAAAAAGACCTCTTATTGATGCCTGCTCCGATTTCTATAAGAGAGCCATCACTGTTTATGACAACAGCAGCACTACCAGCTCCAACAGGTGATTTCTACCATTATAACTATGAAATAATTATACTTAAGTAATTGATGCAACATTAAATTGCAGCAGTTAAATATCATCATTTTACAAAAATAAACTCCAACATTATATCACATCAGTGGAGGAATTTATGTTACATCATACAGACAAAAGTTGACCGTCCTTCATTCTGAGTGACATTTCATGGTATTTTCTTAAAGAAAAAAAGTCACAGACAGTGGCTGATTGTGACTTAATAATGGTTCATCACGGACCGAAATGATATCTCAAGTTTCCTCTCTTAAGTGTGGGAGATCTTGTCATGTCATCTTGTGACGTCATGCAGATCGCTACATCTACAGTGCTATAGCGTGAGGAGCACCTGAGGTCCAGTTCTTCAGGGTGTGATTACAAAAATAAAGGCCTGTCTCTGTATATGTTATATTTATTAACAGTTTCCAAATATATCTGTTGTCTTACATTGGAAATACATACATTTTTGTAACAAAAGATAAACAAAAAACTGATGATGGAAGTAAAGACTCGTCAACTTCCAAGTTGCTGCTACTTAGGGAGTTCCGTATAGACCAGACGGCGTGGTGACACCTACACCGCCACCGCCGCTCACAAAAGTACCTCCACCTCCAACTGCGCCACCGCCACTCACTACCGAACTGCCGCCTCCAATTGCGCCACTGTCACTCGCAAAGGAACTGCCACCTCCAACACCGGCACTGCTCACAAACCCACCAACACCACTGCCGATGACGTCCCCGCTACCATGAGAGGCGGAGTTGAGGGCAGACTGGAGGTCCTCTCCTGTGGGCAAAGTCGGGTTGTCACCATCGGCATAGTTGACAAAATACACTTGAGGAGTTTGTTGTTCAGCAGCTGGGATGTGGACGACTTGTTGACCTTGATGAGTGCGCTTGTTGAGCACGTAGACGATGTTCTTCTGCTGTGGTGGAGGAACAACGATGGGTTCCACCCCAAATCCTCCCTCAGGAGTTCGGATGAATATAATGTTGTGTTCCACTCTTGGTGGTGGAATATTTGGTCGTGGACCGACTGGTCTGTGAATTTTAGGGGCTGTGAACACATAGAGACTTTTAGTGATTATTGGAGTAACACAGCTGCCATCCACATGGCGAACCTGTCCTCCACCACAGCTGCCTGAGAACCCAGAGCCACCAGAGATAAACCCAGAACTTCCGGAGACGAGCCCAGAGCTTCCAGAGAACCCGGAGCCCCCAGTAAATCCGGAGCCACTAGTGGAGAATCCGGAGCCGCCAGAGAACCCGGAGCTTCCAGAGAACCCAGATCCTCCAGCGTACCCAGAGCCACCAGAGAGCCCAGAGCCGCCCAAGATCCCAGAGCCGCCAGAGAACCCAGATCCTCCAGCATACCCAGAGCCGCCAGAGATCCCAGATCCTCCAGCGTACCCAGAGCCACTAGAGAGCCCAGAGCCGCCAGAGATCCCGGAGCCGCCCAAGATCCCAGAGCCGCCAGAGAACCCAGATCCTCCAGCATACCCAGAGCCGCCAGAGATCCCAGAGCCGCCAGAGATCCCAGAGCCGCCAGAGATCCCAGAGCCGCCAGAGATCCCAGAGCCGCCAGAGAACCCAGATCCTCCAGCATACCCAGAGCCGCCAGAGAACCCAGAGCCGCCAGAGAACCCAGAGCCGCCAGAGATCCCAGAGCCGCCAGAGAACCTAGATCCTCCAGCGTACCCAGAGCCGCCAGAGAACCCAGAGCCGCCAGAGATCCCAGAGCCGCCCGAGATCCCAGAACCGCCAGAGAACCCAGAGCCGCCAGAGAACCCAGAGCCGCCAGAGATCCCAGAGCCCCCAGAAATAAAACCTTGGCTTGAGTGAGTGGGTGGACTGTAGCCCTGAAGCTCGGCGTCTACAGCAGCTGCCAACAAGGAGGCCAAGATCTGTGGAGAGCAGAAGAAGGTTAACCACAAGTCTCAGTTACTGCCAGCACTTACGTATTAAACGTGAAATCATTTTTATTACAAAGACACCACAGCAAATATTACAAACATTTGTATTAACTCAACATTAATATCAGCCATTACCAGTGTTAGGTTAACACCACAAATATCTTAAACATTGTTAGCAAAATCTTCGTCAGTATGACATGAAAACAAATCTCTGAGTCGTCGTTGTTACCACAACAGAGTTCTTAGTTTTACTGAAGGTAGCTAAATTAGTATGGTTAGGCAACGAGTCTATTACGTCATTAGTTGATGTTGTATCGATCCTCAATCAGTCTTTGCCCGGAATGAAATGTGTTAGTTTTCTTACAAACACACACACACACACACTAACTAACTAACTAACACACACACACTAACTAACTAACACAACAACACACACACACACACACACACACACACACCAGGCCTAGTGTCTAATCGACATGTGCCTACAACAAAATGGTAACTAACACACACACACACACACACACAACACACACACACACACACACACACACACACACACACACACACACACACAACACACACACACAACACACACACCACACAACACACACACACACACACACACACACACACACACACACACACCACACACACACACACCACACACACACCACACACACAACACACACACACACACACACACACACACACACCACACACACACACACACACACACACACACACACACACACACACACGCATGCACATACAACAGGCCTAGTGTCTAATCGACATGTGCCTACAACAAATTGGTAACTAACACACACACACACTAGTGTATGTGTGTGTATGTTTTATGTATCCAAAGTGATCACTGACAAGGCGACTGATTACGTAAAATACTACGTAAGGAACGGAGAATGATCTCAGTCACATATCATCACATTATGACCACCATGTTGGATGTTCTCTGACGATGACACTGGTCATGCAGTGCTGCAAGCTGCCATAAATTATTTCTCATTCTGTACGTGATGTTTTAAGAACATGTATGTCGTACCGGATGAGTTGAGTTGGTTATTATTATTATTATTAAAGATTAGCCGGTATTCTCCCGGCCCGGGCCTTTTCCAAGTGGTGGCCCGGCCTTGGCTCCCTCTTTAGGGAGTGTCTGAGACCTAAGTCTCCCATGGGAGGAGGCACAAGTACCTCCTCATCTTTGGGACCAACTGTCCCCAGGCCTAGCCACAAGCTAGGCCTCTCTGGTCTGCCATCCCCGCCCCAAGGGGGCTAATGGGAATGACAGTCTTATGAGCTAAAGGCTCGGGCTCAGGCACCTACCCTACCCTAGAAGGGTTAGGCATGGTGTCGATGAGTTGAGTTGGTGAGTTTAGCTTAAAAAGCAACGGTCATTTTTATAGAAAAATGCTGACTGAAATTTTTTATACAATAAATTTGTGAACATCAGTGAGAAAATAACGAAAAAATATAATTGATTTTAATGGATATTAAGTGAATTTAAACTAATCTGTGATATGTTTAGTAGAATTCAGGCTACAATAAATTACGTGCATTATAGCAAAGTTAGATGAGGTCTAAGCTAAGTTTGGTGCAAAACTATAATTTTTACTCCATTTTCAGTGAAAAATATATTTATTAAACCATAGTTTTCTTTTGAAAAAAGTTAAATTTTTAGGGCAGTTTGGCCTACTTGACTACTTTGGCTAGACATTGTATACATTTATATATATAAACACACACACGCATAATATATATATTAATATATATATATATATATATATATATATATATATGTATGCAAGGAATTCGCAAGAGCAGGCGAAATATACACAAACACTGATCTCTGGCTGAAGGAGACTCGAACCTACGAACCTTGGAACAAGGTGCGCAGTGCTAGACCAAACTCACCACACTGGACAATACATTGGCGTGCAGCTTGCGCTACACGTTGATCCAAGGCAACCAGCTTTCAGGGAGAAGGCTTACAGCTTTTCATCTCATCCCCTGCATGCATCAGCCTTACTACTGAAAGCTGGCTGCCTTGGATCAATGTAGACAGAAGTATGGGGAAGGGGGTGGGGTGGCGCTGTATGTCCGAAATCACTTGAACTGTTGCATAAAAACGGGTATAAAGTCTGAAATATCACAGAGTCTGACTGGATAGAATTTTCAGAGGGGCAATGAATGGAAGTATGATAGTAGGGATAACTCAGTAACGGCCCCAGATTATCGCTTAGTAGATTACAATGAGCTTAGAGAACACCTATCGTCTGTGTACTGGGGTAACGAAGAGCTCTATCAATATGACAGCTTTCTAAATACTATTCATGCCGCCCCAAGAACATTTATCCCGTATATAGAAATTAGATCGAATATAAATGACCCAAAATAGGGGAATAATAGGCTCAAACATCTTTTAGGGCAGAAGAAAGGAATTTATAGACGTATCAAAAGAGGTGAGGATCTTCTTATAAATCAATATCCTGATATTAAGAGGGA